ACACACACACACACACACACACACACACACACACACACACACACACACAAACACACACACACACCTGTCTGAGAGTCTTCAGCATCTCTGTGGCCTCGTCCTGTTTGCCCTGCTTGGCCATCAGCATCATGTCCTGGATCATCCCGATGCGCCGCTGGTAGGGCGGCGGGGCCGTGCCCCCCCGGGTCAGCCTGTCTCCTGACTTCAGCACGAGGGAGGTCAGGAGGTCCCCTCTCTCCTTGGAGGGGGTCCGCCTCCAGCTGTGCTGAGGACTGTCTCCTCCGGGCTCCGGGCCTTTGCTCTGCTTGGCCCCCATGGCGCAGCCTCAGTGGGAACTGTGGTCCCACCTGGCGGTCATGCAGAGGCAGGCTGGTTGAATGTTGAACAGGTCGGTCCTGGTTGAACAGGTGAGTTCAGGGCTGCAGCATGAAGCAGAGACAAAGAGGCCGGACTCTGCTGCAGACAAGGAGCAGTGTGGGCAGGGAGTGGACTGCAGGCTGCTGCCTGCAGCATGGCCGCCAGCACAGACCCAGCACAGACCCAGCACAGACCCAGCACAGACCCTGCACAGACCCTGCACAGACCCAGCACAGACCCAGCACAGACCCAGCACNCAGACCCAGCACAGACCCAGCACAGACCCTGCACAGACCCTGCACAGACCCAGCACAGACCCAGCACAGACCCAGCACAGACCCAGCACAGACCCAGCAGAGTCAGAGGCTGTGGGACAGAGCAGCCTGCATCCCGAAAACAACTTCAAAATATGTCACTTCCGCAGCATGGAGCCTCCTCCTGCCCTGTCCAGTCCTGCAGCGGAGCCATCCGTCCTGGACTGGAGGAGGAGGAGGAGGCAGGGTTCGGTCTGCAGAGCTCCTTCCTCGGCCGCAGGAAGTCACGCAGCAGCCCGCATTTAACGTCGCTCCGCGGGCTGCAGCTCCGCGCAGGACCCCGGACCGCTGAGGCTGTGGTGTGCCCTCGCCCCGGGTGAATCACGCATCGCAGCCTGTGTCGGAGCGAAAGGGAGGCGTCGGGGACGTGAATCCTCCCCACGGTGCTGGAGGGGGGCAGGGAGGGCTGAGGACAGCGGCTCCGATGGGATCTCCAGTCCGCACCCACTTCCACTGAAAACACGCAGGCTCACTGTGGCCATTAAAACACGATGAGTCAGAGCTTAAAGAGCTGCACACAGCTGAGCGTTCATGTTCATGTTTATTACAACAGACAGGTTTTACACTGGCTCCAGTCAGCAGGGATTTACAGAGAAAAACATGTTTCTGAATGTTTAACATTATTATGAACATTTAATTTATTTGAGTTTTCACAGTGAAATTCGTCTTATTTAAATAATATTTTGGTTGTTATTTACACATTTCTGCTCTGTTCATTTTTGTTTACATTTTTCCTTGTAGATTAGTTGAAGTTTGCACATATCTGTCCAATAAGATCCCAGTGCTCCCCACTGAGCATGATGCACAGTGAGGGGACTGCTGCCCCCTAGTGGCTGATCTGAGTGCAGCAACACTAAAACCACAATCAGCACTAAAATACTGGGGTTGAGGTCAGGTGTTACATCCCCAATGTGGATGTTTGTCTTTCCATTGAAGTAATGCCTTGTGTGTTCTTTTAGGCTCCGCCTCCTCTCCTGTGATTGGGTGCTGCTCCTTGGGTCTCAAGCCAGTCAAATCAGCTGGGCCCTATTTAATGGCTGTGAAGCTGCACTCCTGGGTTTATGGGCCACTTCACTGCCATACACCACTGATTGTTGTGTCAGCTAAGGGTTCGTTATTTTACAAACTAATGTAAACTTGGTCAGGCTGATTTTGTAGGGGAGAGCTGCCTTTTGTTTAACCTTAGTTCTCACCTGTTTATGTGCTTTTTAGTTAGGTAAGGTTATTTTAGGTTTGTATATTTTATTTTCATTGGGGTTAGGTAAGTTTAAATTTTATTTTTATTTTAGGGTTGTTTTATTTGTTATTTTGGCCTGAGCTCTCCCTGAAGTCTTTTAATCAGTCTTTATAGAAAAGAAACTTAAAACATGGCAGAAAATAAACATCTTAAATGCCATTTTGACTCCTCCTTCATTGTCTAGATTTATGTTAGTCCCTTTAAATTCCTAGACCAAGCCAGGCGACGTAACATCAGGAATTCAAGAAGGCCTTTTCTTCAATCCTAAAACTTGAAGATGTTATTATCATCTTGGAGTGTAGAGTGTTGTATAAAGCACCACAAAGTGATACTTGATTAAAAGTACAAGTACACTATATTGCCCAAAGTATTTGCTCACCCACCTAAATGACTGCACCAGTGCACAAAGGTCCATAAAGACATGGATGTCAGAGTCCTGACCTCAACCTGATAGAACACTTTTGGGATGAATTAGAGCGGAGACTGAGAGCCAGGCCTTCTGTCCAACATCAGTAAGTGACCTCACAAATGCAGTGTAGTAGAAAAGTTAAAGTCTTCTCTAAGAATTTTGTATAGTGGTATTAATTTATATTTTCAGATCTTCCAAGGTGCCAATTATGGAACTCTCTGTACATTGCTGCCCAAATCAAATTCTGGAAGTGGTCATTCAACTAGATCTGTTACAAAAGGACAACTGATATTACCAACTTTTAAAAACTGTTACGGCCCAGCGGACACACGCATGAGCTGCTGAGCTGCGGAGTTCTCAACTCGCTTAAACAACTAAAC